AACTTAAAATTGGAGATATTGTCAAAAATGTAAATAAAAGAATAAAGAAAAATCAAACAATAAACAATTATATATTTCCTGAACTTTCAGAAAATGAACAAGATATTTGAAAGGTTATTAAATAAATGAAGTTATCAATCTTATTAATGAGTCATATTCTGATATCAAATATCTTGTTGTTGATTTTACAATAGTTAAAAAAGCAACAGTCAAATTAAATAAAATGTCATTTTTGCAGATTTGGGCAATCTATGTTGCCTTGGTACTAAAAAATATCTCTTCATAACTGGTGATGCAGGCACTTGAAAAACATGTGTTCTCAAGTTCATAATGACTTATTATTACCTTATTCATAAGGTCAAAATCGAAGTTATTGCATCTACAGGTAGAGCTGCACTCGAATTAAAATCAATTGGCAAATCTGGCTGAACTATCCACTTTATATTCAAACTTGGTAAAAGAATAACTGAGAAAACCCTAAAATGGAAAGTTAGAGATAAGATATATCGTAATTGGCTTAAAACTGTCAAAGCCTTAATTATTAATAAGTGTTCAATGATAAATGATACACTTCTAAATTTGATTGTATATTTATTCAAATCTATTCAAAAGAATGTATCCAAAGATATCCATTTCATAGTCACAGGAGATTTTTTCAATTTCCTCTAGTAGAAGATGATTTTTGTTTCTTGAACAAAGACTGGTATACAGACAAATCTGAATGTTTACTTAATCAATCATGGAGTTTATTCGATTTCGTATATGTTGGTCTAACAGAAATATTCAGACAAGATGATCCAGAGTTCAAACATCATTGCACAAATCTATGATACGGGTTTTTTAATAATGAAACTTTAGATTATTTCAAGAAATGTGATTACTTTAAAGATGATGCAGTTTGATTATTTTCACAAAAAAGGTATCATGACAATATAATAATTATTGTCTTGGACAGTTACCAGGAAAAAATATTGTTATTTATAGTCAAAACACATCTGATTACATCAAAGAAATTTGTAAGATCGATCCATTATTATATTCAACCAAAGATATAAAGATGAGTAAAAACATCAAGATCCTTGATCTTGTCAGAAAACATAAAATCTAAGAAGCTGTATTTCATAATCACATACAATCAGAATATGAACTGAGATTATGTTTGAATTGCAGAATTATAGTAATACAAAATTACACAGAAGGTGTAGTCAATGGAACAACAGGAACATTTATTAGTTGGGTTAAAAGCAAAAAAGGCAAGATCATAAATTAATAATCCAAATAGGTTATGAAAATAAATGTAAATATTGTGATCTTAATTTAGAAAAAGGTAAAAAGTATTTTGATTATGATATGATCATTCATCTTGATGATACAGGTGAAGAAGTACATGTTGGTATATGTGAGATGACGGAAGAAGATGAAAATGAGAAAAAATACACTAGAAGACAATTTCTGTTATTTTGTTTTATGCTATAACAGTTCATAAATCACAAGGAGTTACTTTAAAGAGTGCAGTTGTTAATCTACATAATTGTACACAAAAATTAACATATACAGCATAACACATATTAGTTCACAAGACATATTTGGTATTGGAAATCTAACAAAAACAAGTATTGGTAAGTTAACAGCTCAAACCAAAGAAGATAGTGCAGTTAAAGAATTTTACAGTCATTATGTTGATATCAATATTTCCAAATCTTCATTAATCTTTAAAAAAGAATAGATTTTTTTGTAACTTAAAATATCATAATAAAATATATTTAGTAATCAGTATAAAGTCTTTGTCATGATAATATTATTGGTTTAAAATAAACCTAAATAAATTCATGTACTACAGTATTTTATTTATATTAGACCAGGTTATTCGAACAAGTTTTATTAAGTTAATTGTATCAAATAATGTCTGCAATAGAAACTATACAAGATATTATAAACCCATTACTAGAAGGTTTAAGAATCAGTAATGAAACTATTTCTGAATTTGTCAATGATATTGCCAAAGGTCTTGTTGATTTTTCAAACAAGAGTGAGGTAATTGAATACCTTGCAAAAGAAGCCCAGTATTATATGAATGTATATTATGATTTTTATATTCTTGCAGAAAAGATTCTTGTAAAGTTTCAACATAAACAAATTCCTGTTAAATTCTTTGAACATGTGAAACATCTCTATAATAATTATCATAATGTATCAGATACTGTAAAAGAACATATCCCATTAATAAGAAAAAAATATCATGATATTGTAATAAACAATGCAGAATACTTTAATTCTCTTATTGATTTTAAAAGAGAATATAATCATGGATATATAGAATATGCACGAAATAAAGAAAAGTTTTTTCTGAAAGTAGAAGAAAAAGAAGTTGATTGTATACAGTATGTGCATATGAGATGTGCATTACAATTCTATTATGATAATTTTGATTTACTTGCAAAATGTTACAAGAAGATGTCAATGAACAAGATAAGCATGCCAACACCTACATGCACAAGTGCATGTATGACAAAGAACCAACTTGTCAGCTGTTTTCTGACTCTGATTAAAGGTAATTCTATTGAAGAAATTTTTGAAAGCTTAAAAGAAGTTTCTATGATATCTAAAAATAGTGGTGGAATTGGTATTGATATAACAAATATTCACTCAAAAGTTGATTATATCAAAGGAACCAATGAATACTCAACAGTTCTAAATAAGATGCTTTGTGTTTTTAATACTACCATGAACTATGTAGACCAAGGTGGTAATAAACATAAAGGTGTATTAATGGTAATACTTGCAATCTGGCATCGAAATATAATGGACTTTCTGTATATTTGCCATGAATCGATTGTACCAGAATTATGTTCAGCAGATCTGCATCATTGTGTTTCAATCCCAGACTTATTCATGAAACGTGTACTAGAAGATGATGTTTGAACCACCTTTTTACCTAAAGATGCAGAAGTCTTTTTAGGTAAAAAATTGAATGAGATGTATGGTGACGAGTTTGAAACTGCATATATTGCATGTGAAACCAATCTACAAAATACAAAAACTTTCAAAGCACGAGAATTATTTTTTGAAATCAACAAGTTGCAATGCACAACAGGAGAACTATTCATCTTTTTTGTTGATAATGCAAACAAGAAATCCAATCAAATGAATCTTGATATAGCAACAACTACTAATCTATATACTGAGACCATTGAACGTACAAATAAAATTTCTGTTTGCAATTTACAAGCAGTGATTCTTTCAACACATATTTCAAAAGAAAATAAATTCAATTTTATAGAATTACAAGATTCAGTCCGACTTCTTGTAAACTCTTGTGATAGAGCAATCGATCTTACATATTATCCACTAAATGAATATGAAGTCATAAACAAGAATGACTGACCAATTGCTATTGGAGTGATTGGTCTGGCAACTCTTTACAAGAAATTCAAATTATTATGAGAAGACAATAAAGCATATGAACTCAACAAAAGAATCTTTGCACTTATTTATTATACAGCATTAGAGGAATCATGTGAATTGGCAAAGAAATATGGTCTATATGAAGAATATGAAGGTTCATCTATTTCAAAAGGAATCTTGCAATTTGATTTATGGAATGCTGCTCCTTGTGACAAACTTGATTGGAAAGAATTAAAAGCAAAGATTCAAAAATATGGTGTCAGAAACTCATTACTGATCAGTTTGATGCCAACAACTTCAACATCTCAATGTATTGGTACAGAATTCAGTGAAGGCCTATTTCCAGAAGAAGCAAATTTTGTTATTTGTGAAACTACAAAAGGAGCCTTTATTTATATTAAACGTGAGTTAGTAGAGATGTTAATCTCACACATCTTTGGTCAAATAATATTCTTAATAAAATTCAAATGAACAATGATAGTGTTCAAAATATAACCCAATTTTTAGAAGAAATAAAAAAGGTATACAAGATAGCATTTGAATATCCATACAATGTAATAATCGATCATGCATCTGATCGTAAAATATATATTGACCAATCACAAAGTTTAAATATTTATATTAATTCCAATGATCCTAAAATAATAATTCAACATCTTTTTAATTCACTTGTTAGAGCATGGAAAAATGGATTAAAAACTGTTTATTATACTAGATTCATGTTACTTTCTTACCCTCTAGATATAAATTCTAATAAACCCAAATGTACTGCTACTATATGTGAATCATGTGCAGTATAATCTTGGTTTTTATTGAATATATTAAATTAGAATAGATTTTCAAATATTCCTATACTCGAATAAAAATCTTTAAATATGTAACACATATGATAAATTGATATACAAGAGCAATTGTTAGTAAAAGTAAACCTTGTAATACTTTAATAAACTTTAGATGAAAAGTATCTTTTGAAAAGAAAAAGTTTTCTAAGACTTGAACAGGCAAATATCTAAACACTCTTGTAAATAAAAAAAACTATCTTAGAGAAAGTATTACTGAGATAGTAAATTCAAGTACTACAATAACCTTACCTATCTTTAACATTAACATGCAAACAAAAAAGTTTAATAACTGTTAACTAAAAACACAATCAAATATAACCAAACTATAAAGAGTGAGTTAAATCTCAAGATCAAAGTCTATTCTGAAATTATTCATAACTACAAGAAAAACATATTGGCAATCAATTAGATTTAAATTATTTATGATTATATATTTATATGTCTTGAAACAAAATTTTATTTTTTAGTTAAAATTTCTAGAATTAAATTATTTTGATTTTTAATATCATCAAGTATTTTTCTAGTTCTTTAATTGTATTTTCTAATTTTTCATTATAATTTTTTAAGATTCTATTTTCTATTTCATATTCTAAACATTTAGTTTTTTCTTGTTCTAATTTAATCTTATTATTTACAAGTATTTTTTCATATTCATGAACTTTTGAAATAAAATCTTTAATTAAACAAATACAAATTTTATCTTTATCACCAGTATAATTTTCTAATTTATTGATTGCATAATCAGTTAATTTTACATTAGAAACAAAAAATGCAATATGATAATTTGGTTTTCTTTTTGCAATATTCAAAAATTCTCTGATTTCTGATACATAGATTTCATAATTTTCACTTTTGTATTTATATTGTGCGAACCAATATAATTCTCGATATTGACCTAATTAAAAAAAAAATATTAGTATATCATTTCCCTAAAACCTCAAAAATAGTATTATAGGCAATTCAAACAAGTTGAGCCTTATGGAATTTACACTATGAATAGACACCACCAGTCTGTTTGCTCACTAAACTATAATAACTATATTTCTATATTTAGTTTATATTTATTAAAATTTACAGATGATTCAAGCAAGTTAAGCCTCATAGAATTTACACTACGAATAGACACCACCAGTCTGTTTGCTTACTCAACTGTAAAAGTGAATCAATACTAAGTAAACAATTGCTTACCATGAAGATCTGCACATCCATCAGATAATTTTTTATAAATTTTTTTAGAAAAAGAAATGAAAGTTTGGTTTATTTCAATAATTATTCTATTATGACTTGCTAGTTCATAAAGAAAATATTTAAAAACTTTGCCTTTGAGTCTTTTTTCATGATCATTTTTTGCAGGTTTATCAAAATCTTTAAAATTGATTTTTAATA